AAGATCGGGATGGGAGGAAGAGATGGGAGGAAGAATAGAGGGCTTCGATGAGTAGTGGTTGGAAGCTCTCTCTCTTCTCTCTCTCTCTCTATGTGTAATCAGGATGGGAAGTAGGGACGGGGTTGGAAGGATCGAGCGTGGAAGAAGTGCCGAGGAGAAGCCTCTCCCTCTTCGTTTTATAGACGCAAAGACAGAGCGAGATCGAGGTGCTGTAGAATCGCAGGATTTATGCAGGAAGCACGCAAGGTTTTCAGGATACGATGCAGACGACGCTGAACAGCTGGATTTAAGCAGGATTTCGACAGGTTTTATGGGATGTACAGCCGATGGTTTACAGATATTTTGATTTTGAATTTTTTTTTCTTTTGAATCTCCTGTGGAGGTCAACATCCATATTGCTCTAAAGAGTCATATTGTGCTTTTGCATTATATTTGATACTCCGTCTTCAACATGCACAATCATTTAAACATTTGTTTTCATAGAAACATAGATATGTAGTGTAGTATTTTCATATCAATCATATGCATTGAGTATAAGACAAGTCTATATGAAAGAGACTTCTATGCCTTGTTTATTATCAAATAATGAGAACTTTAATATGCATGAGAATATTAAATATGCATTGCTTTAAATAATGAGGACATTTAATATACATGAGAACATTGAATATGCAATGAGAACATTTAATATAACATTTCAAAACATAAAGGAATATGAGTTTGTAGAATAAAATGTTCATATCTCAAATGTTGCACATTGAAAGTATTGTTTCACCGATCTCTTCTTAAAACCTCATTTTTTCAAGTCCTAAGGAAAAGTTACAACATAACAACATAAGCCTCTTATAATCAACCCAAATCAATATATCTCACTAAACACCCTACACATTCCATTAATTTAGGGTTTAGGGTATAAAGCATATTTATCTCATTACCTCTCCTTAGGATCATTAAAGCTCATTAACCTACCCATACCCTAAAGCATATTTATCTCATATTTCATATTTTAAAAGTTAATTTATCACATATCTAATCATGTTCATTAACATATCCAAATATCATGTTTTTATATGAAATATTTTCCTTAATGAGATGTAATTTAATTGCTAATTTTCGGATTTACCTAAATTCAAATTTTTGAAAACCTAATTCTTCACTAATATCATTCAATTTGCATGTTAAAACATCCCTTTTTCCTAATTATAATTTTAGGGCATTTAATTTTAGGATTATTACATATAAAAATTAGGGGAAAATATGATTTTGTGAAAAATGCCCAAATTTCACCATTAGAGCCCTCGTAATGTTATTTGTAAACACTTTAGGTAAGCATGCATCAACATTTTTCAAATTAGTGAAAAAACCCTAAGAATTGAACCTAAAATCCTTTGAAGAAATCTTGCATTTTCATGGCTAAAAATTGTTCCTAAGCCTTCCCTAACCTTCTCTCCAAAAGATTTTAACGTTTCATCAAAACCCTAATTTCTAAACTCAAAATTTTTCTCATGAAAGTTTGATTTGTAAGCATAAAAACGTTTTTAATAGTTAGAGTAATCATTATTGTAAAGATATTTTGTAGGAAAATTTTTTTAAAAGAAACCCTAGAAATTTCTTTCAAGGAAAATCACTTGAAAAGCTTTGAAATGTCTTCAAAAAACCATACCTTAGACTTTCCCGAGCCTTCCTCTTGATTTTTCCCAAAGAACTAGCCAGAAAATACCGTCGGCCGCCAGCTTTCGCTAGCTCCCGCAGCTCCTTCTCTTCCGCCCGCCCTCTCCTTCGTTCGGCCGATAGAAATGAACAAGGGATCAAAATAATCGGTCCCTTAAGGCTTTAAGAGGGTTTTTAGGAAAAAGACGCATGTGCCACTCTCCCAATTTCTTCCCTACTAGCTCATGAAGGGCTAAACGGGTATAAAGGGTTAAAATTTACTTAAACATCTTCGGCGATTTTTTACTTTCAAATCGTGTGAAATTCGATATACTTTATTTATACCGTTTCGATCAAAAATTTCCGTAGAATTTTATAAAATTTATTGCGTCTAATTCAGATGACTTTGAAAATTTGTCTAATTTCGTCGCGGCGCATCAAAATGCGTGCAACGCATACGATCGACAGTTTTCGGGTTTTACAAAGCAAAAGCTTTGGTTTTTCTAGTTTTTTTTCTCTATAGTCTAGAATAGGTTCCAGGTGGTGGCCGCCCTTTACAACATGCAGTTGTTGGTTGTCCATCCTTCTGCTTCAACTGGAAGGCTACCCAACCTTTCTCCTCTTCTCAATTACTTCATTTGCAAGCCGAACGGTTACCCTTCTTTTTTTGTCTTGGTTGTTCTTTCTCCTCCCCTCATAATTCTGGTGTGATTTGATATCATAGCCATCTATCATGCTGCTAAGAAGAGTCAATCCATGACCCATTCAAGAAACATCAGTTGTAGAATGGCAATGAGAGATCCGTCAATTATAAGAGCTGCTTGTGGTGATGGAGCTTTGTCAGCCAATCGAAAATCGGGATGAAGAAAGCCATCAAGAAGATGATGAGAATTCCTTCCACCAAGAAGTCTCTAGTGGGGAAGAAGATTCACCTCTTCGCTATTATAGAAGTGAACCAAGAAAGCCCCCTTCCAATCAATCGTCGGGATGAAGAAAGCCATAAAAAAGATGATGAGAATTCCTTGCACCAATAAGTCTCTAGTGGGGAAGAAGAACCATCTCTTCGCTATTATATAAGTAAACCATGAAAACCCCCTTCAGCTTTTCGGATCAAGATTGACCTTCTGGAATTTAAAGACTGCTTAAATCCAGATGAATGCATTAGTTGGCTGCATACTGTCGAATAAATCTTGGAATTCAATGAAGTCCCACTTGACCCTAAACCCTAGCAACTTGTAAACAGAGCCGCAATACATGTCCAAACTTGAAACCATGAGCTACTTTCAATGAAAATAGTAAGACCCAACCTGTTAAATATGTGGGCTACTTTCAATGGAAGCACTAAGACCTAACCTCTTAAACCTGTAGACTACTTTTAATGTCCAATCAATCATCGGGATGAAGAAATCCATAAAAAAGATGATGAGAATTCCTTGCACCAATAAGTCTCTAGTGGGGAAGAAGAACCATCTCTTCGCTATTATAGAAGTAAACCATGAAAACCCCCTTCAGCTTTTCGGATCAAGATTGACCTTCTGGAATTTAAAGACTGCTTAAATCCAAATGAATGCATTAGTTGGCTGCATACTGTCGAATAAATCTTGGAATTCAATGAAGTCCCACTTGACCCTAAACCCAAGCAACTTGTAAACAGAGCCGCAATACATGTCCAAACTTGAAACCATGGGCTACTTTCAATGAAAATAGTAAGACCCAACCTGTTAAATATGTGGGCTACTTTCAATGGAAGCACTAAGTCCTAACCTCTTAAACCTGTAGACTACTTTTAATGAAAGCAGTAAGACCCAACCTTTTAAACCTGCAGGTGATACCAGTTAGACCCACTATCCAAAATTGCGGGTTACTTTCAATGAAAGAAGTAAGAACTAACCTCTTAAACATACGAGCTACTTCCAAGGGAAGCCATAAGACTCTCCATACGGGCTATACTTCCAAGGGAAGCCGTAAGACTGTCCATATATGTTACTTTCAATGAAAGTCATATATCCCGACCCAAATCCAAACATACGAGCAACTCTTAGATGGAGCCATAAGATCCAATCTAAATCTAAACTACTGGAAACTCCTAAGTGGAGCTGTAAGTCCCAACCTAAATCAAATCATCATAACATCTATCCACATCAGTTTACTTAGGATTCCTTTAGAGGAGGCAACCCATCGCTACTAATCAGATTCCATGGATACTACAATTAACAATCATTAGTGTTGGTAAGCTGAAACCTACGACATACCTAGGGCTTCAGAACCATGGGATGTTGATCGGGTTTACCTCCATTTCCTCCACAACAGAAACTAAAACATCTAAAATTATTCATCCTTAATTAACAATGCTTTCATATATAGTAAGAGGGGTAATTAATTATGAGGGCAAGCCCTCATAGTAATTAAGGACCCAGATTAAATAAATCCTGATACTACTCTCAAGAAAAATTTGGTCAACTATAATCTGCTTCAAGGAGAATGGAATCCGATGGTTGTAAAGCAGGATTCATATCCACGCACCATTTTCCCTAAGCAAAACAACAAAATGTCCTAACTAGGTAATATATGAGTACAGCACGGCTAAGGCTAATTATTAATTATTGTCAAAGAAAAAAAGAAAAATACTAAAGCACTAAAATATAACAAGAAGTCATAAAGCATTCTATGGATCATGGAATCTATATAACTATTCAATTGGGTCATCTAGCCCAAAGCATTGTGAATTCTGGTGAGCGCTGATAGATTTTTTTTTTAAATATATGATATTTAGGGTTCTGTGGAAATCATACTAAGAATTTCTACACTCCATTTTTAAGTGTGAACACCTTCGATTTTTTTTTTTTATATAAAGAAAAAGAAGTTAATTTCTCTGAAGTACTTTACCCGGATAGCATCTTGTGTGCTCAAAAATTGGCAGTTGTCTAATTAATGTTACTTTCATTTTGAAAACTTTTTTTGAGAATTGTCATATACTGATATACATGCATTCTTTCTTTCTATTAGATTTTCAATTCACTTTCAAAAGTTGTAGATAGATATTTATTTTCTTAAGCTTTGGTTGTGCTTATATTCTGTGCTTTATAATGTGCTGGTAGTAATGTCATCGATTAATATTGGTATTTTTTTATAAAATCATATATTAAAATTTTGATCCTTTGCTTTAAATGTTCTTTATGAGAATTCCTCTGTTATGGCTAGCAAATCCGATCATATGTATTGCATGTAATTCTTTATGCAACAGTACTTTTAGTTCTTAGCATCGATCTTCTTCTTAAAATAGTGTGGAAGGATTTTGTTTTTTGTTCCAATAACTCTTTATTGACTCACTTCTGAACTTATTTTGACAGTTGGCATCTCAACTCATTACATTTGAACATGAAGGAAATTGGAGTAAAGCTCTAGAATACTGCGACTTGCTTGTAAGATCGGCATCAGTGCAGGAAACTGAAAGCTTGCATGGAGAATTATCCACAAATGCTGCCCTTACCTCTAATGTGTATGATGGAAAAACTGCCAATTGGAAGTATTGTAAAGGATTGATGAAATCTCTTCAAAACATTGGCACTAGTCATGTGCTGGATGTTTATAGTCAAGGATTGATGGCCAATATTGGGCATTTTAAGCTTGATTCTGAGTTCACAGAATTGCAGGTTTTTCACGTTCATATAAAATTTAAAGTAGATCAAGGTTTTTTCTCCTTGTAGATGTGGTTGATTTTTCATGATATAGTATTGAAAAGATTTATACACTTATATTTAAACTTTTTTTGGACTTTTTTCTAATTTAATCTGTAGTATGAGGCTGCTTGGAGAGCTGGGAACTGGGATTTTTCATTTTTCTCCTCTGAATTCACTTCTCGATCCGGGCAATATTCAAGAAGTGTTTGCCTTAATGAAAACCTGCACAGGTGCCCTTTTTTGTCAAGTTCCATACTGAACTACAAGCTTGACAATTCTGTCAATGCCGCTCCATCTGATTGCTTATGTTAATTTGCATATTAATCATGTCTTTACATATGATCTAAATGCATAATTTCATGCTGTTATTGTATTATTTTCAAGTCTTCCTTGTCATTTTACTTATTTTATTGCAGTGGTTTTTTCTTTTACGGTGTATACAGTTAGCATGAGAAAGTATGATGTTTCTATTGCTTGTTGTGTAACGAGTCAAAGCTGATATTTTTCAGCCAATGAATTGTTAGGTAGCTTTTGGGTGTCATGAGCTTGTAATGTATGAATGTTATCTAAAATTTTAAATATTTTTTAGTACTTTGTTAGACCGGTGCAGCCGGTCCACGCGGGACCGGCCCGGACACGAAACAGCTGAACTGGGCAGAGGCCGCGCGAGCTGCGCGCCTTGCGGGACGGTTTTAGGAAGGAATTGTGAGGAAGTTTAGGAGGGAAATTGATTGTAGGGACTGTTTAGGGAATTCCTTTTGAATTGTATGCATTAAATAGTTGATTTTTCTAGGGTTCGGGTATCTTGAATTTGGTTGAAATTTGAGATATCTTAGATTTAGGTTTTCTTTAGGCTCTTGGCATTGCTAGAGATTTGGGAGAGATCGATCCTCCTCTCGAATTGAGGATCAATCGGGTGGTTCATTTTAATCAGTTGCTTGATGCAGGCCCTTGGGTTGCTAAGAAAAGTGGTCGTCGTCCTGTAAGAGCTCCCTGGCAGTTTCGTTGAGCTCTCTTTCAGACTTCTTCTAATTTTCCACCAACTGGGCAACTCCATGGCTGCTAGATTCTTTGGCTCAGAACCTGACTGTTATTCTTACCTCCGTGTTTCAGCCCTGATGAAATTCCCGCTTCAGGGCTGACTCAGAGATATGGATCCAGCTACTAGCAGTATACGTGAACCTATTCCCCGGTAAACTGCCACCGTGCTTCCTGGCTAAGGGCAAGAATATGTGCCCATTAAATTCTGTCCTACCTCATCGCCCTCGGAAACGCTATCATAAGCATTCTTTGAACGCCGCAGCCTCGGATAGGCCTCCATCCTCTAGTCAACACATGATACATAGCTAACGGCTTTCCCTCTAAGCACATTCCCACGCTGTCATTTCTCTCCTCCGTACATCGCCCATTGATAGCAACATATCGCATCCACTTTATGAATCCACCCATGGCATCGCTCGACTCAAGATGGGCACTTCAGCTTCTCACATTTGGCTTCCGGTTTGAGTATTTGATATTTGAGATTTGAAATTTGGACCTCGCTCCGGTTAGATTTGCCTCACTTCAACACGCCATCATCGGGTAATTACAATAGCTACATTTTCATTTTTGTAGGATATTGGGAGGTATTGCAATTCAAGTCAAGTCAATCTCCAGTCTTTTTGGAGAGGATGAATACTGAGTATTAGACTGAGCATTTCGAATCGTTGATTTTGTGATTTTTAGATGTTGAAATTGGAGCAATGCGGGTTGGTAGCATTTGGACATGCGCAGCATTCTCGGACATTAGCATTTAGAAATTTATTGCATTTGTCGGAGCAGCATGAGGGTGTTTATTTATAGGGTCATAATTTAATACATAGAGGGGCATTTTAAAATGTTTAGGATGTTTAAAAACTAACGCATAAAATAGATCCATTGAACCAGTGATGGTTTATTTAGATATGATCATTTTGCGAGAGTGATTTTATTTAGGGACATGCCAAAATATTGTATTAGGGGCTTACAACGCCTTCTGTCCGCCTTGCACATCGATTGTTGCTGGATTCGGTGGGTTACTTGCTAATCAGGTTCTCATTTATGGCACATAGAAGATAATTCTTTACAATAATGCAAGGAAGCTTGTTCATATGGCTTAGAGATGGTGCTATGTGTTACGTCCCTCAGAAAAGTTATTTATTTTGATTATAATTCTCCTATTCTTTCGCCACGTAGGAGAATGTGTATTTTGCTTGTAGGCTAGTTGTTATGGGCACTACAAATTCCCTATTCCTCCTCATCATGAGATGAATTGTGTAATTGTATGGGTTATTATAATATCTACTCACATTTATAGGTAATTTTAATATGCACTCAAAGTCTGGTAATTATTGCTCATAATAATAAAGCGAATTATATCATTAAATATATCGCTGTTAAGGCGACTGGATTATTCTCAATTTATTTGATTATAAGGTCTTATGAGATAATCATTTTTCAAATCATCAAATTGTGATTTCTCTAATTGTTAAGCACTGTAGTTTGCTCATTAAAGTTTTCTATAACTCTTATGATCTCTTCAAATGCATGGAGATGTTAGGGTCCCTCTGCAAAATACAAGATTTGTGAAGGCTTTGTCGGTTTACATAGACTCGGAGAGGTACCAAGTTTTAACATATATTCATTATAGAAAGAATAATAATGCTGTATTCAATAGCATGAGATTTCCCAAAGAACTTTATAAGAGAATTAGACAATTCAAAACAAATTGTTTTAAGAAGAGCATTGAGTTTTTTTCAAGTTCAAGTGAAAGTCTGGTTGGAGTTTGAGTTTAAGTTCAAATCAACATTTTTTATGCGAATTTTAATTAAGATTTATTATACATTTGAATTGAATTAAATCAATTTTTTATTTAAGTCCAAGTCTTTTGTTGTCCACTGAAATTTCGGCAGCCTCCGGCGTCTTCCCCAGAGGGAGAAATCGGGATGGACTGCGTAATTCTTCCTACCCGCGCTAAGGTGCGACGTAGGGTGTTCGGAATTTAAACATTCTAACCAGATCTAAGATCGATCTGTGTGGGTCTTCATTGGACCATCCGGCCGGATCTAAGATGCGACGGCCGGGATCTTCGATTTTAACCATCCCACAAGGATCAAAGATCGACTGCGTGAGGTCTTCATTTTGGAACCATCCAGCCGGATCTAAGATGCGACGGCCGAGGTCTTCGACCACTGTATGAAATTTCTTTATTTTCTCTCCATTCTTTTTTCTTTTTTTTTTATTATTAAATTAATATATAATATTATACATTTATAATATTAATATGTATTATACAAGAGTTTCATTATAATATATAATAATATAAATTATATATTATAATACTTATATAAAGAGATTGGGAGCGGAAGAAGCAGCACCAGGAGTCGGCTAGCGAGAGTGGAGGGATCACGCATGGGTCGACGGGTTCGTCGCTGTCGGTGGCGGAGGATAGAGGAGGCCGGGTGGCGGTCTGGGGTGACAGTGTTGGAGAGGTTGACTGGAGTTCGACGGGTGGTAGAGGCGGATCGGGAAGACAGAGCGACGAACAAGAGCACATGTAAGTAGAGTTCGACTCTCTCTGCGTATTCGTTTCGTTTCTCTGAGCGTGTGTGTGCGTAACCGTCCGAATGGGAGAGGGATTGTTTGTTTATTCGTGAGTGAGGCGGTGGGTAAGTGCGGTGGGCGAATCGTCGTGTCCGATCGGGTATGTGATGGGTTTTTGGTCGGTGATTTTGTCACGGTTACACCCATATCATAAAAGAGAACATGAGAGAAAACTGAGAGAAAACTCAAGTCGAGACTTGTATTCACTAGTAGATGTATAAAATAGCAAGATACAATTGATCTCAATTCGAGGGAGGATCGATCTCTCCCAAATCATCAATGCCAAGAGCCAAAGAAAACCTAAATCTAAGATATCTCAAATTTCAAACAAATTCAAGATACTCAAACCCTAGAAAAATTCAACTATTTATATGCATACAATTCAAAGGGAATTCCCTAAACAGTCCTACAATCATATTCTCCTAAACTCCTCACAATTCCTTCCTAAAACGATAGAGAGGAGCGCGCGCGCGCTCCACCGTTCAGCTGTTTGTGTTGGCGGTTCCGGCGTGGACGCGCTGCACGGTCTAACAAAGTATATATAAATATATTAAATATTATATATATAAAGCTCATGACACCCAAAGCTACCTAACATTCATTGGCTGAAAATATATATGATTACACAACAAGCAATAGAAACATCATACTTTCTCATGCTAACTGTATACACCGTAAAAGAAAAACCACTGCAATAAATAAGTAAAATGACAAGGAAGACTTGAAAATAATACAAATACACATGAAATATGCTATTTAGATCATAAATGTAAAGACATAGTATAATATGCAAAATTAACATAAGGCAATATGATGGAGGCATTCGACTGAAGATTGATCAAGCTTGTAGTTCAGTATGGAATTGTTGAAAAAAAAGCGATTGTAGGGTTTTCATACAGGCATCACTTCTGTTGAATATTGAACAGTCGATAGTATAGAGTTTGATTTCAGTTTCTGCCAATTCTCTCGCATAAATGACCCACTATGTTAAAAAAAAGGTACTCAAATGTCAAGGCTCCATTACTACAGGATATAAATGTATATAAAAAGTCAATTAGGTTAGAGAAGAATTGCTAGGTGGCAATTTTCAATCTATCGGATGATAGAAAAAATCCACATTCTTACTATGACAAAAAAGCATTTGATCTATTCTGTTGATCTTATGACTATGTAAAAACACCTGTTAATTACTGTGAACTCTAGTATCAAGCTTAAAATAAATACATTGGCACATTCAATCCTTGACTATAAACATCCAGACAATGACTAGTGCCAATGTTTTGAAGAATTTCATTCAATTTCCTCTTACAATTTCAATTGCGTTTTTCCATCATAACATTAGAGGTAAGGGCAGCATTTGTGGATAATTCCATGCAAGCTTTCAGTTTCCTGCACTGATGCGATACAAGCAAGTCGCAGTATTCTAAGCTTTACTCCAATTTCCTTCATGTTCAAATGTAATGAGTTGAGATGCCAACTGCCAAAATAAGTTCAAAGTGAGTCCATAAAGAGTTATTGGAACAAAAACAAAACATCTTCCACACATATTTTAGAAGAAGATGCGATGCTAAGCTAAAAGTATGTTTGCTAAAGAATTACATGCAATACA